TAAGGATTTTAATTTTTGCTAGTAACAGGCGAAAAACCGGTTTTTTACAACAATGCCTCTGGCGAAGTTATATTCATTTCTACACAACAATAAATGTTGCTACTATGCTCAGCGTAGTCGATTACCTACAGTCCATGGCATTTCGAGATTCCCAGAGATGTCTGCTCGGAGATAGACACGTGCTCGGGGAAAGCGAGCCCTGCCCGAACGACGATAGCCAAAGAGCCGAGAGTTGCATAATTTTGTAGAGTAACATCTGAGCTATCTACGCATGCAAAAATAAAAAATTGGTAACATTGTATGTTGGTTTTCTGAGAACGGAGCTGGTTTTCCAAAGATCTTCTGAAAACCCGATCTCTGGATTTTTTTCGAAAGTTGCCTCCGCTTGTGAAAAGTTGTGGTGAAGTCTTGGCTATTGAACAGCGAAAATCGCAGGTCTCTATCTCATTCCTATCAAAAGTTATTCAAAAAATGCCCACGGGTCTTGTATTTTGGGATGGATAGTAGCTATATTATGACGTTTTCGTCAGTGGATATATTTTTGAACTCTTGTACCATTTTTATTTAAGATATTTAGCAAAGCCTGGTTGTGTAACTATTCTAAAGATGCAACAGCTACAAATGAGCAAGACATCAAGAAAGGAGATAGTCTTACATAAGCTGAACTGATGGAATGGAATTTAACAAAAGTCGCCATTCTATACTACCATCAACCTAATACGAGCCATAGGTACATGATAACTCCGATAATGCAGCAGGAAGAGGGTATATTGGTTTTCTCAGTAATAATTAAGATAGCTGATCAATACGCATCAAAGAACAAACGAATAAGACGCAGACTGACAGTAAAACGTTATTAAATGAAATTTATTATTTGTCCTAAGTGATTGTTTACTTTTCTATAATAAATCTGTATGATGAACTGTGAAATAAAATGTTGGAAGAAAAAAAAATTTGCATATTATATATCGAGAGAAATCAGTTTGAAAAAAAATGCAAAACTTAACTATGAGACGTGACACACAAGTAAAGGAAAGAAAAGGGACTGTATCCATTTGTATTTTCAAAAATATAGTAAAGTTAAAACGTGGTTGATCTATTTAATAAATATAGTTTATGCAATCTTTTTGGTATTTTGCATATTTGACTATATTCATTAGTATCGTTTGGTAAAGTCGCGTTTCGCCAATTCAACTTTCGCCAATAAACATTCGCCGTCTGCGAATGTCTACTGGCGAAAATTGAATTGGCGACCTGCGACAAATTTGTATCGTTTTGACGTTCACTTACTTCCTGTTCATACAACTCACATTAATAAAATGTGTGTTTTGTCATTCTCTTTCTTCTAATGACGAAATCTACCTGTGATGACAGAGGTAGTCAGATAAGAAACACGTTGTGCAAAACATTTATTCATTAATTTTTTATGTTCGAAATACACTGTGTTGAAAATAAAAAAAAATGAAGGCTTTATCTTTTTCTTTTTCAAATAGTGTACGGAATTTTGACAACAGTCACTATTAATCATTAATCAATAAGGAGTAGTCTACCAATATGGTTTGTAACACTGATGATCAACAAGACGGAAGAAATGAAATTGATGGCATGATAGAAGAGCAAATAGGTGAAGATGTTTATCAGTTTGAAAATATTATACAGTTATTAATATACTATTATGTTGTATCATTTCAGCACACACATCTGATGATCAATCAGTGAGAAATGAAAACAATTTGGGTCAGATTAACTTAGTCGTTTTCATTATAATGGGTTTCTTATTTTTTCATTTTTATTCTGTAGGAGAATCGACAGAAGATGATAAAGATTTGATCATAATACACAAATTAAATTGGTTAACATCACTTAAAACACAGTTTCCACTCGCAAAGCAATCGTTTAATTTTCATGACAATAATATTCTCACTTCTGCTCGACGACAGCATACATCATCAACAGTCGGTACCATCGACACTCCTTTAGTTAATGTTTCCCATGTGAGAAATCAAGTTAGTCAAAGGTAAAGATTTGTAGGTTAATTGTATAAAGTAGTCAATTTTTTAATTTTAATTTGTCGTCTCTGAGCATTCACAGTCCGAACGTGATTCAAACTCTTGAAGTTGTTTCAAATTACTCATTAGAATCCTTAACAGATTGTTGGACCGTTCAGTCTTTCGAAGTGTTTACTTGCAATTGAAACTAGCAAACTGATTCTAGCATCCATATTTATTTTGTTCCGCTTATGAATGTTCATGACCATCTACAAAAGCAGAATTCTTCAGAACCCAGTGCAGAAGCAAACCTGTTTACTATAATATTTTTCCACTTAGTCGAACTCACAACTACTATCCATTTCGATGAACAGTGTAGGTGGATGTTTTTTGAATAACTTTTGATAGAAATAAGCTAAAGACCTGCGGTTTTCGCTGTTCGATAGCCAAAACTTGAGCAGAACTTTTTGCTAGCGGAAATAACTTTTGAAAACATTTCAAAGATCGAGTTTCCAGACGATCTTTGGAAAACCAGCTCCGTTCTCAGAAAACTAACATAAAATGTTGGTAATATTTTAACATGCATAGATAGTTCGGACGTTACTCTACAAAATTATGCAAGTCTCGGCTCAACCAGCTATCGTCGTTCGGACAGGGCCCGCTTTCCCCGAGCACGTGTCTATCTCCGAGCAAACACCTCCGGGAATCTCGAAATGCCATGGAATATAGGCAATCGACTACGCTGAGCATAGTAGCAACATTTATTGTTGTGTAGAAATGAAAATAAATTCGCCAAAGGCTTTTTTGCGAAAAGTCGTTTTTTCGCCTGTTACCAGCAAAAATTAATTATCTCGATCAAATCTCATGCTGACTCATGGAAATTTTCAGAAAACGCTCAGGACAGTTCATAATGCATAATCGAAGACGAAAAAGGTGAATTTCAGCCGGGTATTGGCTTAAGGTTTTTCAGAAACCTTCTGAAAAATCTCAAAGCATCAGTGTTCTGCTGGACCAATTTTTCGGTGTGATCAACAATATATGGCACCTTTTAAGTCTTTCCTGAAAGGTTTCTTGAGTCAGCATGAGATTTGATCGAGATATTAAGATTTATAGTATTCTTACAGCAATGATTGAGCTACCAGGGAGCAGTATCGTGTATACCCACCTTGATTATTCGGTGGGTTCTGCAACAGCAGTAAGCATCATTCCTTTTCGATGATTTAAAGGAAAAAACGTAGTGTTTTTGTGATACATATGTGTATAACTAGGTGCCTTCTTCTCCTTTTTTGAACAACATACATTAACGATTAGTCGAATATATGATTCATTTTGCAGTATACACTTTAGCTTAGAATAGATTCAACACTACCACAATTCATATTTTTTTCCGTTTTTGCCTCGTCATATCAAAAGAATTTTTTTATCTACTTCTAACTTGTACATTTTAGACTTCGTTTTCAACATAGAATTTGGCTGATCATACATTGGTATTTTACATCCACCTGCTATTTTTTTATAAGCGATAGTACAAACATTTTTCCAGAAACTGCATTGTCAGACGAAATATCTTGTCATTTTTACCAGGAGTACTTTATCTCCAGGCAGACTCAATAACTTTATATGAAATATTTTCTAAAAAAATGTATTTTAATTCTTTTAAGATCGAGATTTATCGAATGCTGTATGGTAGCTCTTGTTTTTATTGCAAAAACAGTCTCTTTTCGGACATACCATTCTCGCCCAAGACCACCGGCAATGTGATATCATTTTAATAAAAGATGTGAATCTCAGGAACCGTTCGATCGAGTGCAGTAAAGTCTTTTTCTTGAATACGTGTTGCCTCCTATTACTAGCCTAATTTAATCTAGCAACTCCGAAAACTTTTACTTTAAATGGTATGATAACTATACTATCCAACCATCTGTAATTTTCTTTTGTCCTCATTGTCTTACTATGCTGTTGTGAATATGATAAATAGAGCATTCTACTTTCTTATAGATCAATAAACGATTTTATACCATTACATCCGTTTAACAGAGATAGCGGTGACGGAGAGCAACGCTTCAGTAACTATGTCGAACTTAATTATCAAGTCGAGGATGTATTGTCATAGGTTTAGTTTTCTTCTTTTTGTTCATAGACGATTATCAGTTGAGACGTGAACGAACATTTACTCAATTTTTCGACAATTATCGACCAACAACACCAGCTGCAAATGAAAAAAGCGATGGTATAATTCTTCGACTAAAAAAAACCTGTCATTTAAAACCATTACTAGATGTGACTCAATCAGCAAATGAACAAAATAATTCAGAAGTATCATCGTCTATCGTGTATATATCATTTTAGTAAAGAAATATCGTCAACTTTAATTAATTCATGTCTATTTCTAGTTTAAAACGGGTTTGCGCTGTTTGCTTCAAATCAAAAATGATGAATAAATATCAACAAAAATTTAGTAGTAATTGTTCACATGTTGAAAGAACAGTGTGTGATAGATGTTTATACGATAACATCAAAGCTATTTTATTGTCAAATAATTCTCATATAAATAGTACTGAAATAGTCAAATGTCCCGAACCCGACTGTTCAACAATATTCGATTATCGATCGATAAAACAAATATTAATATCAAAACAAGATTTTGAACTGTGTGAACAATATGGAAAAGAATTGGTGGAACATAAAATTGAAACATTAAAAGGGCACATATATTGTGCACATTCTAAATGTGGCGCAGCACAACAAAAAACAGAAACAGGAAATATTGTCACATGTTTCAAATGTAAGAAGAAAACGTGTTCCTATCATCGAGTACCATGGCATCAGGGTATGACATGTCGAGAATATGATGAAGAAACGCGCGATGATGGACATCACAAATTGAGAAAATGGTTGGAAAAAAATTCAAAAGAATGTCCCGGACCCGGTTGTCATTATCATATTGAAAAGAATGATGGATGTGATCATATGACGTGTCTGAAATGTAAACATGAATTTTGTTATGTTTGTCTAGCTGACTGGAAACGAATTGTCAGCGAAGGAGAGAAATATCACAAAATGGACTGTCCGTACTATAATGATGAAACTAATGAGGACTGATATCTTTTTGATTTATCGGTTTATTTGTGACTGATTTTGAATATCTTCGTTTTCCTAGGATGAATAAAATTCACTATTTTACAACTTTAACTTTTCTCTTATATCGATGAATAGTCCCATTTCAATTCTAGAGATTTATTTATCAAATTACATCTTGTATCGGTTATCTAACGAGGGAATCTTCTCCGATGTAACACTCCGTTTCGAATGACTTACGTGCCGATTGATAGAGGATGGTGGTTATATAGTAATTCCCCTAAGAGGATTTGGACTCATGGTACTTCTTTCAAAATTATAAATTTTTTTTGTTTAACTGTGCAAGGCAGCCTGCTAGTACTAAAATTCCGTAATTTAGACAAAAGAGCGAATTAAGAACTGAAATGTTTTTCCATCACTGTGCTAGATATCTATTATTAGCATAGAAAGTTTCAGTTTCTAACTCTAGGACTTGCTAAATTATTGAATGTTCCCTACTTAAGGAAAACCCATGTGTTTGCCAAAGAGACAAGGGTGGTAAGGAATATCCTTTGACTCGCAAGAGTCGAATTGTATATTCGCATACACACTTTTTCGAGTATGAGTACGAGTATTTAGTGGCGGGTACGAGTATGAGTACAAAACAGTTTTACCCGAGTATGTACTTGAGTGCAAAGTCTTTTAGAACAAAACAGGATTGTCGTCAGAAAACTTATCGTGCGCTGATATTATATCAAGCAATCTATTCTGAAGTCCTTTTTGTTTTACTAAAACAGATTTTCATCCGAGTACTCGAGTAACTTTTGAGTACGCATTTAAAATACGAGTATCTAAAAATTTCTACCCAAGTAAACTCGTACTCGCCCATCTGTGCAGGCAAGTGGGCTCAAAGAAGTTTAACATTGCGGTAGACTGTATAAGAGACCTCTATAGATTGGTTGCTTAAATATCCGACTCTAGTAAATCAAAGCATAGTTGGAGGAACGCTCAAAAGTCGGGCCGCTCATATGTCAGATAACGTCGTTGTTGACATTTCCAGCAAAGTGTTTTGTATGCGAGTACCAATAGCTCCTGAGTGACACTCCCGAGCAATCATTACACTTACCAATAACATTTTAATCCAGGAGTGTCAACAGCCACTCGGAAAAAAAAACAGAAAGACGTTACCCTTGCGAATGTACTTGAGCCAAACACTTGCACAAGTATTTGGGTTAAGTAATGAGGATAGTACTTGTGAGCCTCTGCAAGTAACTTTACTTATCAAGTGCTTGAGAAAGCACTTATCAAGTAAAATGTAAGTATTAGGCTAACGCAAGCAAAAGTTTAGTCAAGTACCTGTTTCATTTATTTTTATTTTGTATTTTATACCTATTCTGGAGCTAAACTCTACTTTTGTAGAGCAAATACATGTACGCCTACTAAGTTTGTTCAACTCAGTAGAAATATATAAGTTTATTTTATAAGTGCATAACGACTGATATTGTGGTGTTTATATACAACTGGTTAATGCAAAAGAAAAGGGTGACTGACTTGATCAAGTACACTTTCAGGAAAGCCTTAAAGGCCTCATATATTGTTGATCAAGTCGAAAAGTGATCCAGCAGAACACTTAGGCTTTGAGATTTTTCTGAAGGTTTCTGGAAAACCATAAACCAGTGCCTAGCTGAAATTCACTTTTCTTGTCCTCGATTATGACTTATAAGCTGTTCTGAGCGTTTCGTGAAAGTTTCCTTGAGCTCAGGACAGCTCATAAATCATAATCGAGGACAAGAAAAGTGACTTTCAGCTGGGCACTGGTTTAAGGTTTTCCAGAAACCTTCTGAAAAATTTCAAAGCCTAAGTGTTCTGCTGGACCACTGTTCGACCTGATCAACAATATATGACCTTTTAAGTATTTCCTGAAAGTTTCATAGGATCAGCATGAGATTTAACCGAGATATAAGGATTTTAATTTTTACTGGTAACGGGCGAAAAAACGGTTTTTCGCAAAAATGCCTCTGGCGAATTTATTTTCATTTCTACACAAAACCAAATGTTGCCATTATGCTCAGCGTAGTCGATTACCTATATTCCATGGCATTTCGAGATTCCCAGAGATGTCTGCTCGGAGACAGACAGGTGCTCGCGGAAAGCAAGCCCTGTCCAAACGACGATGGCTGGTGAGGTGAGACTTCCATAATTTTGTAGAGTAATTTCTGGACCACCTACGCATGCAAAAAAGTTACTAACATTGTATGTTACTTTTCTGAGAACAGAGCTGGTTCTACAAAGATCCTCTGCAAAGTCGGACCTCCAGAAAAGTTTGAAACAAGTTTCTGCTTACAGAAACATGTCTTAAGATCTTAGCAACGCGATGGTGAAAACCACAAGTCGTCATCTATCAGTATGATTGAGCTATTCCAAAAGTAACTGATGACCTTGTATTTTGGGACGGATAGTAGTAAGAGCAGAAGGTAGACAAATTTTTCCAAAAATATCATGCAGTAACACAATGCGGAAAACTCATCAAAATATAGGAAATTGGAATACATAATGAGTAAGAGGCCTCAAATTTTATTACATATTAGTCATTTATACATTTAGTTCTAACTTAAGTTGATCTCTACATCGTACACCATGCTCAAAAATCGGCTCTGAATAGGTTCTCACAAAATAATCTCGGCAAACATCATACACTTTAAATCCACATTTTTCATAGAAAATCACAACTCCGTTATTTAGCTCGGGTTGTTTTGATGTACCCAATATTATTCTGTTATATTTGTTTTCTTTCGCCCAATTGATGACATGATTTATCAATCGTTTTCCAATTCCCTGACGTTGCTTCTTTTCGTGTACGGATAAATTCATTATTTCTACACATGTATCGGATTTTGCTTGAACAACTATCACGCCCAATTGCTCTCCGGTATTACTTGCTTTCGCTACGAAGCATGTACTTGATCGAAGATAAGTTTGGATTTGTTTTTCGCATGGATCAGCTAGTAGTAAAAGACTTAGAGAAAGATCAGAAGGCTGAGCAGAAATAATAGAAACGAACATCTAAAACTGAACGCATACTTCCGTATTTATGAAGAAACACTTATGATTACAGATTGTATTGTTGTGTAAGATGGAAGAAAACTGTTATCATGGGATCCTTTCAGCGGAATTCAGTCTTTAGCAAAGTGTACTATAGTCTGAATAGCACAAAATATTCTAATATAATATAATAATATTACTTTATTCACGAAAAGTGAGACAATTCTATGAGACAATGTTACTCAATTCAAACGATGTGTCCGTTCTCAAGGATAAGATTCTTCTTTCTATGGCGGACGTACGTCATACTTCTTTCTTGCAATCCATTTCTTGATTTCTGCTTCAGTACGTCGCGGGTACTACTTACAACGTATGTACCGTTGTAAGAAGTTACCTGCCAAAAATGGCCGCCGTCGATAAAAAATTTTCTGCCTTTCTCACTGCTTGTTGAATAAGATTTCATGCAATGTCTTTACAGTTCAATAGATGTCGC